TTATGTTCTGATAAAAGCTGTTTTAACTTCATATAAATATCAAGTGTGTTTTACAAGGTAACGGGAATCCATTACATTCTGTTCTTATCGACCTATCTATTTCCTTATAATTCACCTTCATATAAGATGAAAACTGTACTTACAATATTATCTTATCGACTTTATTAAAACCTAGATACGAATATTTTTTTAAATCTTTGTTTAAAGATCATAGTGGATATATGTTGTCATTTATTCGTTTAAATACTTTCTACTGTGTTGCATTTTTACAATAAATCCAATCCTTAATGGCTATTTTTAGGCAGATTGTGTAAAAAAATGTACAATTATTAAGCTAGCTTTTTTATTTGTAGATCTGTCAAAAATGTCATTATTAATTATAACACCTTTTCTATATCCACTTTTCATATCATTATCTTGCGAGAGTCGAGACATTAGATTTTTCGCTAAATAATTACATGTCCCTACAACAAACCATGCCATCATAAAACCTGACTTACCCGATTCTTTATTTTTATATATGTGTGGATGCATAATTATACATTTCGGAGTGATTGAAATATCTGAGGAATTATTTACGTACTACCGATTTAGCTTCGTATAGATATTATATTCTTTTATAATAGTGCTGGCCTTTATCAAAACCTGTTTATTTTTAATTTACTTAGTTGTTTTTCTAAATATAATTATTTGCTTTTTCTTAAGGTTTGCATTATCCCAGTAATAGCAAAGGCTGATACTCTTACCGTGGAAGAATGCCGTATTTTTAAGCAGTCTCTACTAGCTGACTTTGCCGATCATGGTCTCAGGATGTACACTTTTCCTGAGGCTGCAGCGGTCGGTTTATCGTCAACTTCTTCATCAAACACCAACTCGTGTCTCACTAGCCCTCATACACTCCACTCGAGGCATCAGGCGGCCGGTTCTATTGATTTGGATACCGGATTGTCTGGGGATAATCAACAGCAGCAATTTGCTGAAGCAGTGGCCGGGGCTGGTACTGGGCTTGCCGAAGTATGCCGAATGCGGGAGCGACAACCTTTCGCTGTGGTGGCCAGTAATACATCAATCACTCGACCTGATGGAAAAAAGGTACTTCATTTACTACCCTCTGCTTTATATTAAATTTAGCTTGTTTAAATATCACAGTTGATTAGTGAATAATTTGGAAAACCTTTTTTATTGAATGCTCAGCTGAACAGATTTTAAACACATTCGAGCCATATGAAATCGCCTAAATCACTTTTCTATTTAATTAACGAAAACTAATTAATGGAATAATTAACCATGGATTAGCTTTTTTACGTTGTATCAGAAATTATTATAAAAAGACAAAAAATTGTATCTGCTTTTCGATGAAATGAAAATGCATCTCGAGAAACGAAATGAAAGTGCATGAAACGAAGATAAAGCTTTGATTTTGATTTTACTGATTAAATTATTTTTAACTATTATGACGGTGGATTATTTATGAAGGTAGAGGGATTTTCCAACTATAAACCACATTAAAAAATTATTCTCTAAAATAAAAACGTTAGTACTAAACATTTAGCCAATCTTTTATCACAGACATTAAAATATTCATCTTTTTATCCAAATGAAAACTCCATGAGCCCTTAAACAAAGTGTACCTAAATTTTAAAAAGTAACTACTTATCTTCTAGCTCTAATCCTGTTTGTTGAAATCGCTC